GGGTAAAACCCTGGAGGAAAGGTTCAGAGGGGGCCGGTTACCCCCTCTGCTGCGTCTGCCAACCGGGCAGCTTTGTGGTCTGTTAGAATTAGGAGAGAACAGTCATTTTCCAGGCTTAGTTTCACAGAAAGCCTCCGCTGTTCATCGCTTTCATACCGTCACCTTGTGCAGGCAGCGGAGCCGACCCGAAGGGCACCAAGCGCCGTTCCCTTCGCATCCTTGTGCAGATACGGCCGAGATTGCCCCTTTTTCATAACAAAATGGCTTAACGCTTGAAACGGAGACGTCCCAAGCGAGGGGCTGGGGGCTTTGCAGGGTCTGGGCGAGTCGGCATGGATCCGATGCTGTCGGCAGCTCGTCAGCGCGGCCGTCAGAGACCAGGACCCCGCTGATGAGATGTGGCTCACGCGCCCGGGCAATTTGGCTCAGCCCGATGAGCCGGCGGGGCCGAGCTCCCCGGGGGCCGGCGAGCAAAATATCCTTCTGCATCATCAGAAAGGTGTCGCTTACAATTGCCGAGCCGCATTTCTCCCCGGCCAGGCACCGAAGCCACTGCGGCGGCAGCAATGCTGGCGGCGGCGTTCCCAATGGAGCTGCGGCGCTGCAGGAGGAAGAGGGTAAAAGGGTCAGACGATGCCGCCGGCATCCCCCCGTTTGCTCATTCCCAGGCCAAAATGCCCCTTCCCGGCTGGGTGGGCATCACCCGCGTGTGTGGGGTTTCCCTGGGCAGTCACAAAGCATCCCTTGCCTTTTGTTTGGGAAGAGGTGTGGGAACTTTCAACGTGGCCCTTTCCGGGACCATCTCAGCTCCCGCGTTCTCACAGGTGCTCCAGCTCACGAATTCGGGAGGCGAGAGGATCTCAATTTGGGAGGCGAGAGGCAGCCAGCTGGTGCCACGAGGCTCTTTCCCAGGGAAAGGTCCCCAGGGATTTCCCTACCTTAAAAAAAGTATTAGCTGTAAAAATTCCGAGCGTCCCAGTCACAAAGATAAACAAACAGAGCCTCCTATTTTGAGTTCCGTGTTTGCTGAGGGTGTGTAGTATTTTGTTCAGCAGCCTGATTAATGCTGCCGTGACTAATGAGGGCGCAGGACAGACGCTGGAGGTTGGTTTGCAGCGTCAAATGCCATCAAGGCGTCGTTACGTCAGACAATTTGCCGCAGGGGGATCGTGCGCCCTCGGATGAAGAACGAGCTGAAGCCCTGCCCCTACCCCACTCCTTCCACGTCCCGAGATCTCTCCGTAGGACCTCTTCACAAAAGGACGCAGTTGGCACTGCAGGTGCTTTAAAAATGGAAAAACCAGCCGGAAGGGTGTCTTAGTGCTAGGAGGGTGTCAGCTGCAGGAGATTTCGGTGGCACCAAACACTCCCACTTGAGGCGGCAGATGAGCCTCGGAAGGAGGAATTGCACCCGGAGCTCCAGCCTCCGTGGCAGGATGAGGGAGATTGCGCTGCCTCTCGGTCATGTCCCAGCTCGGGGTCGCGTCACCCACGACTTGTGAGCTTGCCAGGCACGGCGTCCTTGTGGTGTCCTCGCAAGGATCCCCTTCCTATCCTTAAACAGAAACACTGGGAAGTTTTCATCTCCCCTCCAGCACAACGGTTCATGCCTGGCTCTGCCCCCAGAAATGGAGTCACCCCCAAATTCATGTTTCCCCGTGAAATCCTTGGCCACGGGGCGGTCAGGACATGACGCCATGTCTGTTCACCTTCCCCTCGACACCCAGAGCGGCAGCCCGGCCATCGGCAGCACCCTGCGCGCAGCTGAGCACCACACGCTCCCAGCCCATCTCCAGCCACCGTCCCCTCCAGGGCCAACCCCACACGTCGTGGGGCAGTGGCTGACCTTTCCGGCACTGCCGCAGCCCTCCCTGCCTTGCTCTGCATCGGGCTCTGCCTTCCCTCCCTGGCCTGAGAGCATCCCTGGCCTGGAGCATCCCCTGGTCCAGAGCATCCCTGGCCCAAGAGCATCCCAAGGCCCGAGTGCATCCCCTGGTCCAGAGCATCCCCTGGCCTGGAGCATCCCCTTGCCCCAGGCATCTTGCCCCACCACCCTGCAGCCCAGCTCCCCTGTCCCCCCTGCTTGTGGAAGAAGGATGGCTTCGTTGGCAGGAGCTTCTTGACTAGGACGAGGACCTCTTGAGGTGACCTGGCGGAGTTGGGATCCCTGGCCCCGGAGCAGAACCCAGCTGCTGCCCTCTGGCCACTCTGGCTGCGTGTTGGACTCCAACAGAAACACGAGGGAGGAGGCCTTTCTGCGAGAGTTTTTCAGGCACTTTACGTGGAAAGCTAACAGCCTTTTCAGCCCGAATTAACCTTTCCAATTTGCTTGAAATCTTTCTCATTTTCTCCAGAAAATGAAGGGAAAAATACCCAGCCATAATGGCCAATGTGGTTTTATTAAAACCCAGGCTGGAAGCGCTGTGGTTTCTGATTGGAAACACTTCTTAAAAGCTGCCGCCGCAGCAGAGGAGCTGGGGTGAAAGGGGAGGGAGGCAGGCACGAGATTTGTACGTAACGGTGGCTGGCATGTGCACGATCACCGTTGCAAATCTGCTGTTGAGACGGGGTCTCTGCCGAGAAGGTGGCAGGCTGCCCACGCAGCGGAGACGGCGCTGGAGCTCGGCCTCCCGCTCCTGCCTGGTAAGGCTCCGGCACGGGTTTCCTTTAAAAAAATAAAAATAAAAAGGAAAAGACAGTCACACAAGACTAAACGCCGGCCGGGCCCGCTCCCAGCAAGGCAATTCCTGCCTAACCTCGGGTGATATCGTGCCTGTGAAGCGTGGCTGCCGTCCCCGCTCGGGATGAGCTGGATCTCCTTCATTAACAGCAATGGGCTCCAAATACCTCCCGTACTTATTATTACCTGGCGTTA